TTATTTTCCAGGGAGTGATTTTCCTTTGTTTATTTTTACTAAATTATTTTAGGGATCGATTTAGGGTTCAGGTTAGGCATAGGGATCGATTTAGGGTTTCAGGTTAGGCATAGGGATCGATTTAGGGTTCAGGTTAGCCATAGGCATAGATGACTTCACTTGACGTGTCAATCAAGATGGCGGCCACTGATAAAAATAGTGGCATTTTCAGTGACCCTGCCCTAAGGCTAAGGCCTAGGGCATGATCTTGGAAATTCGTTTTTGAAGCCCACCCATGGACTACGCTCATGAATTTTGGATATGTTGTAAATGAACCTATAAATTATAAGAGCAGAGGTTTTTTTATTATTGAGCCCATTTTTAAAAAAAGTTATTATTTAGTGAAGTTGACAAATTTTTAACTTCAATTTTCAAATCTTTAATCTTGACCAAAAAAATCAAACGAACTCTTAATATAACAGGAAATATGTCGGCTTTAAGTAATTGGCAGAAGTAAAATTATATTATTATGCTAAAAATCGATTATAAAATGCGAAACGATACCCTCAGTAAATTAAAAAGTAGAGGTCGCCATTATGACAACGAAAGGGTGCTTTCAATCCTGTTTAAGAATTACTGTTTCTAGGGAAATGTTTCTGATAAAGTTACAGTTATTTGATATCCATGGGATGTGATTTTTGTTTTATAGGGTAAGTGGGTGCAGAGGTTTGTTACGCTATATTTCAAGGCGTATCTGGAAATTTAATCGAAAGAAATTTTGTCAATGGTAAATTGATCAACGGAAATAAGGTCGAATCTTTTTTTTTCAGTTTTTCCTTTAAAAGTTTGCTTCAAATTTCTTTTTGAGCACATTATTTTGTTTTACTATATAGTGAGTTCAATATTTCTTGTTTACCATTGTTTTGCCATTGTATTGGAATGCCAGCATACCTAATAACTGTGTTCAAGATATTGAGCTAACATTTTATTTCCTTAAAAAATCACCAGGAACAACCGGCTGTAACAAGGTGCCGGAATACAAACAACGTTAGTACAAAAGGAAGGAAATCTGAAATTTTGACAATTAATTGGAATAAACAGTAATATGTGTGGAAAATACACTAATGACTTTTGCCAAAATCATAATGTCTTTCTTCGGATACATATTTTTCCTTTCGTACTAAGATAAATTGAAGCTAACCAGCTCCTTATACTGTCATTATACCCAGTTCACCTGATACTTGGCTCCTTAACCTAATGTGCCATTGACCCAATGTCTTGTTCACGAGCGCCTATCAGGCAGCAGTGAAATTGCTCGCACATTTTCTCATTTTTTAAAAATATTTTCTTCAAATTGTATTCCTGGATAGTTGGATATTTTTGCATCTGAAAGTTTCTTGGACTGTTTAGAAGCCTAAATTTTTCACTCATTACAAACTCAATCAGGTTGCAATGAGTGATTTCTTGGCAGGACTATGTGAAACAATTTTTTCGGGCCAACAGGAGACAGAATGATGAATAATTTGATTGTGATAATATGGAAGAAGAAGAAGATGCCATTAAAAAAAACTCTTTATTAAAACTGTACAGTAACAAATACTAGTTAACTTATCCATTCCCAGCAGATATGATACCTTTGAGGACCCTTCTGGGATTATAGAAAAGTTTCACTACGGCACACACTACAGCAATGCTGCCAGAGTCATGCACTATTTGGTCATGGTCGAGCCATTTACAACTCTGCGCATAGAGATTCAGAGTGGCAAGTAAGTGCATAGAGTGGTTTCTGGGGGAGGGGGGTGGAGGGGGTTTAAAATGCTGCACATAGAGCATTGCAGTGTCAAGTAAGTGCATAGAGATACTGGTGGATGCTGGGGTTGGAGAGCGGGGCAGGAGGCAGCCAATTTAGTGCCCCCATCCCTTGTTTTACTGACATTGTTTTAATATGTTCATGAATTCACTGAGGCTACTTGTACATTGGTTAACTTCACAGTACATGTATGTCACTTCCATTTTTACATGATCATTTGTTTAAAAAGACATTGCATCTGAATACCTTTCTGAAATCCAATAAGCCATTACTAGATCAGAATGTGTGAAAGAACAGGATGTGTGAAAGAACAGGTTGTGTGAAAGAACAGGTTGTGTGAAAGATCAGAATGTGTGTAAGAACAAGTTGTGTGAAAGAACAGGTTGTGTGAAAGAACAGGATGTGTGAAAGAACAGGTTGTGTGAAAGAACAGGATGTGTGAAAGAACTAATTCTGTGAAAGAACAGGATTTGTGAAAGCTTGAATGAATATAAAGGATTGTCTAATCAGAAGATTTTTTGAACGTTTTGGCTGAAATTCTTTATCAACAGACAGCTTGTTAGACAATGCACATAATTTTATTTGAAGTTTCTTTTGTGTACATCGCCTGTGTAATGATGCCACTTTTGTGTAAATTGCATGTACAATAGTGCCACAATCCCCAGGTTTGATGTGGCCGACCGTCAGTTCCACTCAATTTCAGGGAGCTTCTCCTCCCTGATGGACAAATCAAATGATATCCAGGAACTCCTCCCAGAGTTGTTCTACTTCCCGAGTTTCTTGTCAACTTCATTGGTAAGTCTTACTGTAAATGCGGCAGTGCAATCTGCAACACTGCTAAGTAAATCTTAAATGCAGTCTGCAACACTGCTGAGTAAATCTTATGCAGTCTGCAACACTGCCAATACTGACATGCTCATCTTTAATTGTAATACTTTATTTTAAAGACCTTTGCTTTAAATCAGTCATCAAAACCTGCAGTCTTTCTAGTGTTAAATCTATGCTAGTGTTTCTGTGGACATTTAATTTCAATGTTTGACTATCACATTAAAAAAACACACTTTTTCTTGGCTTCATCCATGGCAAGATTACAACTACGGCTGTAGATGTGACATTTTCTCAGGTACTAACGTAGCACAAACTAATTGTTTGTATCATGTCCAGGTTTTGATCTCGGAAGACTTCAGATCACCAAAAAGTCTGTGGACGATGTCAAGTTGCCTCCATGGGCCAGCACACCGGAAGAGTTCATTTAATAACACAGACAGGCCCTGGTAAACATGTCTTTTTTGTAACTACATGTCTTTGTTTGTCAGTCTGCCTCCTTGGACCAGCCACGTTTCATGAGTTTAATGCCAGTATGTTTGACAGTACAGATGTGACTGCACTGTTCAAACTGTTGGGTAGTTTAGGATTGGGGTAGACCCCCACCCTGTTTTCCTGCCTGTGGCACCATGATGTCAAATAACTGTAAGTGGTTTATAAACAGACAGACTTCTACTATATGACCAGGGTTGTTAACAATACTAAAAAAAATTATTGGCAATACCAATACCAATACTGCCTGTAAAATCTATTGGCAATACCAATACTGCCTGTAAAATCTATTTGGCAATACCAATACCAATACAATTTTAAAACCAGTATTGCAATACCAATACCAATATTTATTTATTATTGCCTTACCAATACCAATATTTGGGTCATTCGACGAATAAAACGCAATTACGTAACTCATCGCTCTTTATCACTTACATTGATAAACGATAACAACATTTTTGGCTAATTTAGACAATGTATTTTTAACCAAATTTTTTTCAATAGTTAACACTTGCTTCATCAGTTTTCCTCAAAGCATTCAAAAGTCTTTGACAACATATTAAATAAGTCGGCATACCTTAACGTCCTTAAGCAACAAGATTTTTAATATGTATACTGTACACATATTGTGAATGAATGAATGGATGGATGGATGAATGAATGGATGAATGAAGCAAATGACTGTCATAGAAAAGCAAATGATACATAAACGGTTAAACATCATACTATAGTAAAAACAGTCAGACCGAGTCAGTGGATTGCATCACATCTGGAAAACTAACGATGAACGATGAATTTTAGTAGAGTTCACAGGGTAATGCCACCTATTTGGCCGTTACCACTTAGCCAGGCGAAGAAAAGTAACCATTTCAAAATGCGCACTGCTCAGTCGTGAGCGAAGAGGGGAAAAGACTCGTCCTAATGAAAACAACCTTTCAACGGCAACGCTTGAAGGAAGTCCTGTATTCAGGTCTATGTATATTTTACGGATATGTGGATAGGCATCCAATGATGCAATACTGTCTGAAGTGTCTGCCAAGTAATTATTAATTTCTTGATTCACATCAGGTGAATCATTCACACGATGTCGTCTGGCTGACAATCCAGCGAAGAAGTCTGGCTGATTATCTGTACCATCAGCAGCAGCCGACGTTGCTTTCTGATCATCAGTAGGAGCAACCAACAGTGATTGTGAAACGCGTCTCTTCAGTGCTTCAATAAGATGCGAACGCTGTAAATCATCATCTATCCAGTCCAACTTGAATTTGGGATGTACAACGGATGCCAGCTGAGCATCAATGCTGTCAAACATGTTTGAAAATCTTCTATCGATGGCATTCAAAAGACATGAAGCTAATGGAGAACAAATTACGAGCCGATCATTCTTTCCTTGATCAAGAAACACTTTTAACTGAGCCTTCATCACGACAAGTGTTGGTAGAATAACAGCAGCGCTTGAAGGAAGTCCTGTATTCAGGTCTATGTATATTTTACGGATATGTGGATAGGCATCCAATGATGCAATACTGTCTGAAGTGTCTGCCAAGTAATTATTAATTTCTTGATTCACATCAGGTGAATCATTCACACGATGTCGTCTGGCTGACAATCCAGCGAAGAAGTCTGGCTGATTATCTGTACCATCAGCAGCAGCCGACGTTGCTTTCTGATCATCAGTAGGAGCAACCAACAGTGATTGTGAAACGCGTCTCTTCAGTGCTTCAATAAGATGCGAACGCTGTAAATCATCATCTATCCAGTCCAACTTGAATTTGGGATGTACAACGGATGCCAGCTGAGCATCAATGCTGTCAAACATGTTTGAAAATCTTCTATCGATGGCATTCAAAAGACATGAAGCTAATGGAGAACAAATTACGAGCCGATCATTCTTTCCTTGATCAAGAAACACTTTTAACTGAGCCTTCATCACGACAAGTGTTGGTAGAAGGAAACCAAGTCCAATGTCTTTTTTAGTTTCACCCTGCAAAATATCTAGTCCACAGCTAACAGGCTTCATAACAGCAACATACTCTTTAACAAATGTTTTCTGTACAGGCTGTAGTCTTTTGATATCAAGTTCATCACAAAGTTTGTCAAACTTAACTTCCATGTCACTTACACAGAGAATGTTGTAAACTCTGGTGACAGCATCATACATTGAATTCCACCGGGTTTCACCAGGTGTTACCAAAAGCATACCAAGTGAATCCTTGATCTTTTCAGAAGCTACAACTGATCGGTTTTGTTTATTCCAGAGGGCTGTCAACTTTGAAAATGTCTGAACTGATGTTCTCTTATAAAGTGGATCATCAATTTTGGCACAGTCACTTGTTGCTACAAGGCTGAGCAAATGACAGGCACACTTCCAATGTGCCGGAAGGTGATACAGGATCTGATCGTCATCTGCACTGCTTGTTGGATTCAAGGTCTCATCAATCTCCTGATACTGAATATCTGAATCGTCAGAATTGTCCTCACCATTCTGATCCATTTCCACGCTGCTATCTTCAGACTCATCAACTGAAAAGATGAAACATGTCTTATTTTGCAACTCATACTCTTCAAAGATCTCCTCCAGTGTCTTTGCTATTACATCGTAAGTATGTTTGCCCTTTAGTTGACGAACAGCAAGACAGGCAGCCTTTCGTGACAGGGTATGATTATCTAACCAATGCACTAGAGACCGACCGAAAGTGATTTTCTGATTTCGGCCGAAGCCGAAAATAGGCCGAAAGATTAAAATGACTTTCGGCCGAAACCGAAAAAAGGCCGAAAGTTAAAAATGAATTTCGGCCGAAACCGAAAATGAAATATTGAGATATTTTGAAATTCGTTCCCGCATACATTCTGCATACATCGAAAATGATGTGGGAAAGTAAAAATATTTACATTCTTTTTATAAAAAAATGAGATAATCATGAATATTAATAAATAAACTTCTAATATCCGGGTCTCAAACTCGCGGCCCGCAAACTCATTTGTGACCCGCAAGACGATATTTTTCGGCCCGCTACATGACAGAAAAGTTTAGTGTAAATGCGCCGGCCCTTTTCCCCCATTCTCACATCTATAACGTGACTCTCCGCGACGGTTTCAGTCGAATCTCACCAACTAGTCTAATTCTGATTTTTTTTTTTTTTTTTAATGTTTCTATATATTTTTTTATACAACAGTGAGTAGGTGGATGAAAGTGAATCCTAGTTCTTGAGAACCCTTAATGATTTTAAAGTTTTTTATATCACATCTATAACGTGACTCTCCGCGACGGTTTCAGTCGAATCTCACCAACTAGTCTAATTCTGATTTTTTTTTTTTTTTTTAATGTTTCTATATATTTTTGTATACAACAGTGAGTAGGTGGATGAAAGTGAATCCTAGTTCTTGAGAACCCTTAATGATTTTAAAGTTATTTATAAAGGCTGAGCAGATTGTAACAGTTGTAATCGCTTTTTTGTGGATTACTTGATGTGGCCCACTCTTATTCAGACACTAACTCCTGCGGCCACCCTGATGATTTGAGTTTGAGACCCTTGATCTAATGAATACTTTGGATTTTACCATTTTAATATAAATGTAATTTAAATTGCTTTACATTTTTTTAAAAATTAGTATGGTAAGAGAAAATTTGGCCCAAAAAATGGGGGGGGGGGCAAATTAATGAAAAATATGATTTTTTTAAACCGGTCTCAAAAAATTGTTGTTCTGATATGGTTCTAAAAGATCGCTTAATTGGTTCTGAAAGGTCACTTTATTTGTTTTTAAAGATGGTTTAGTTTTTTGTTAAAAATCGTTAGTTGCTTGCTATTGATCGGTTAGTTTGTTCTTAAAGATCGTGAGTTTATTCTTAAAGATCGCTTAGTTTTTTGTTAAAGTTCGTCCAGTTTTTGTTAATGATCGATTAGTTTGTTGTTAAAGATCGCTTAGTCTGTTCATAAAGATCCCATAGTTTTTTGTTAAAGATAATTGATTTTTTCCTTAAGATCAATTAGTTTGTTCTTAAACATCTTTTAGTTTGTTCCTAAAGAGCATTTAGTTTTCTGTTAAAGATCGCTTAGTTTATTCTTATAAATCATTTAGTTTACTATTAAAGATCATTTGTTTTGTTCTTAAAGATAATTTAGTTCGGTCTTAAAAATCGTTTAGTTTGTTCTTAAATGTCGCTTAGTTTGTTGTTAAATATCGCTTTCACTGAGTATTAGATGACCAAAAAACTGAGTCATTTTCGGCCGGATGGCCGAAAGTCTAAGTCAATTTCGTCCGAAACCGAAGAAAAACCGAAAGTTAACTTTTCTCTTTCGGCCGAAACCGAAATTAAGCCGAAATTTAAATTTTCAGTTTCGGCCGAAACCGAAAGTGATAAAATGGCCACTTTCGGCGCCGAAACCGAAGCGGAAGCCGAAATTCGGTCGGCCTCTACAATGCACGGTTATTCCCAAAAAGCTGCGCCTCCGAGAAGTCCAGCAGTCTTCTGTAGTGCAAACACGATTCACTGAACGTAGTGTATCTTTGAGTTCTCGTTTCTTCAACTTGAAACGTTCTTCCAACTGCTTTGTTACGGTTTGTCGACAGGCTGGATACAGTCGGCCTTGTGTGATTTGGTGGATGAGACGTCGGAAAGAGTCAGTGTTGACATGATGCACAGATAGAACACTGTCCACTATATAATCTACAACAAAACGATCAAGCTGTTGTTGAGTCAGCACTGAACAGGATTCTAGCGTGGTCTGTTTCAATTGAGATCCTGCGTTGTTTTCATGTCATTGCTCACTGTGACGTTTTGCACCACACTTCTCCTGTCGCAGTTCATCACAAAGTTTGTTGAATTTGGTAAGACATGACGGGTGCACAGCTGCAATGTGTTTCTTAAGATTCTGACGAGATGTGTTCACACATGATATTGACTTTTGTTGGCCACCAAACGAACATTTCTTAC